GTATAAATCCGTCATTTATTATAATAAATACAACATAAATCATATGTTGTTTAGCAGAGTACTAAATATGCAGACAATATAGTGACTCTCTTCATGTGTGTTTTCACTGTAATATATTTTCCAAAAAGAACGTAAAGCTGTTCAAATACTCCCTCTGCTGGACTGAACCAGCAGCAGTCTTCTAAACTGAGTGCATTTTTCATAGATTTGAAGCTCTTTTATAGCTTTCCTTTTTACTTGAATATACATTCCTTTTCCTCCAATGGATCTTCTAGACATAGTGTATATACAAAAATTTGACCAAAAAGTTAGATCTGTGAATTCCTTTGCAAAAAAAATAAAATAAATGGTGCCTCACAACCTGATCTTGCATCCCTTACTCCATTTGTGTGAGTAATCCTTAACGATGAAAAGGCTTAATACAAATGTAAGAAAAACTGGGCCTAATAAGTACAAAAACTGACTGGTTCTCATTAACTCCCTCAAGGGTCCACGTAATTCAGTGGAGACCCTTTACTTGACCTAAAGAAATAAGACTTGAGATAATTAATAAAGTTTGTAAATTAGGAAAGATATGTTATAACATTCAACAAAACTCAAATGATAGCACAATCATATACAATAAAATATCTACCTCTCACTTAACAACATTACCCAGCTAACTACAAAACAAATTATCAAATTAAAATCAAGATAATATCAAATAGTCAGACTAATTCTTACACAAACTCTATCTATTCAACAATCTGGAAAATCTGTTGTTTAGCTTACAGTTCCACAAACTGAAAGTTCCACCTAAACTTAAATTTTATACATCAGACAAAAATTAGGAAAGAACAAATCGATCCCAAGCCTGGCTCATGCTTATAATTCAAACTGAAACACCTATGTGACTCAGTAGTGTGAAAAATTCATACCTGGAACAACATAGATGTACTAACTTAACCTCCAGTCAGGGCTAGATCCTGGCTCCCAGTGCTCAGAGAGGTGACATGCATTAAGGATGTTAAGTATCGGGTATTTTGCTAATCGAATAGTTGATGCATTTTTGCACCAACTTTTCGATTAGTCAGTAGAGGACTCCAGCTGACCCTGGGCTCCCTGCAGTGCTGCCCCTTTGAAATGCCGCTTCAGCGTTTCAAAGTGGCAGCACCGCACTGAGCCTGGAATCAGCTGTGTGGTGCTGCCCCTTTGAAACACCGCCATGGCATTTCAAAGCGGCAGCGCCGCATGGAGCCCGGGCTCCCTGCAATACACTGCCACTTTAAAGTACTCCCTTCTCCCCTGCCCCCTGCTGCCTCTATGTGATAGAGGCAGCAAGGGGGGAGGAAGCAACTCCACGAAAGCCGATGCCCACAGGGAGACGTTTTTTAAGACAGCGTCTCCCTCCCCGCCCCCCGGAGCACTGGCTCTAGTCACCCCATGCTGCTGACTCTGTGGGAGGCAGCATGGGGGGCAGCAGGCAGCTCTGCAGGAGTCAGCACATGCAGGAAGCTGGCTTAAAAGCTGGCTCCCTGAGGCTATGTCTACACTGCAGGCTTTTGCCGGCAGAGAGCATGTTAATGAAGCACTCACTAGCATGTGTCCCGCTGTCATTTGCATATTCTCTACTGATGCTTTTTGCGCAAGAGGCTTTTGCACAAAAACAAGCAGTGTAGAAGGTCCGTTTTTTGCAAAAAAAGCCCCTTTTGCACAAGTTCCTTATACCTCCTTTTTTGAAGTATAATGATCTTGCGCAAAAGGTTTTTTTTGCGCAAAACAGACCCATCTACACTGTTTGTTTTTGCGCAAAAACCTCTTGCACAAAAAGCATCCGTAGAGAATATGCAAATGACAGCGTGATAAATGCTAATGAGCACTTCATTAGCATACTCTCTGCCAGCAAAAGCCTGCAGGATAGACATAGCCTGGGTGTACCGGCTCCCGCCTGCCCCTCCTTCCCTCACTTCTGCCTCTGTATCGGAGGCAGCTGTGCAGGGGAGGGCAGGTTTTTAAGCCAGCTTCCCACGAGCACTGGCTCCTGCCTCCTTCCCCCCCCCACCATTGCCTCTGTGGGAGGCAGCAGGGAGGGAGGGAAGGACAGGTGCCTCTATAGGAGCCTGCATGCACAGGGAGTTGCCCCCCCACCAAGGTTTATTGGTTAACCACGTACATACGTACATGGTAACATCCCTAATACAAACACTTATTCACTCCTTTACAATTGTTAAGTAGAGAGATTACTAAACAGCCAGGACTCTATCTGAACTGATAAAAAATAAAGATTTTATACTTATAATCAGGTGGCTTGCTTGCAAACTCCTCAGCTCTAAGTTTTTCAAATCACTGGGAAGACTAATCGAAAAGTTGGTGCAAAAATGTTTTTCAAATCACTGGGAAGACACAGAAATAGATAGAGGTTTATACTATAGAGCCCACAGCAACGCCCTATGGAAGCCGGGCCCCTGCTGGCCCGGCTCCTGGGGAAGAGACTTTGCTGCGGAAGCAAAGTCACCGCCCCAGGAGTGGAGCTGGCTGCCTGCTCTGCTTCAGGAGAGGTGGCATCACTACTACAGTGTAGCCTCCTCCTCCTCAGTCAGCCCTTGCCCGCCAGACCCCCAGGAAGGTTCTGCCCTGCCATACTGAAGTTGCTTCCCCAGGAGCCAGTTGATGTAACCAAGACCATTAACCAATAAGCATCAGCTTATTGCTTAAATGGTTAACCAACTATAGTAGGGCTGTCAAGCAATTACAAATTTTAATCGTGATTAATCACGTGATTAAAAAATGTAATAGCAATTAATCGCATAATTAATCATGTGCAATTCCCCTTTGAAACACCCTGGCGGTGTTTCAACGAGGCAGCGCTGCATGGAGCCCAGGATCAGCTGAAGTTCCCAGCTGACCCTGGGCTCCATGCAGTACTGCTCCTTGGAAGCGCCACCATGGCATTTCAAAAGGGCAGCACATTGCTTTAAAGGGGCAGTGCATTAGGTACGCCAGCGGATTCCCCAGCTCTGCTTGCGCTGCTCCTTTGAAGAGGCAGTGCAGCATTAACGTCTGCGATTAACGCTTTAATTTTTTTAACGCGTTAAACCTGTCCTGCGGTAACCGCAGGCATTAACACAGGTCAATTGACAGCTCTAAATTATACTCCTACAACCGTACTATGGAGCTGAGGCTTGGAGCAAGGTGCAGCATACAGTCCGTCCATCCCCATCCCCTGCCATGCTTCTACCTCATGGCTGCAAGAACATGTTGCTGTTTCCAGGGAGTCACACAGAGCCAAGTAGGGAATAGGGATATAAAATCCCATATAAAGTTAATCAGATAAACATGTTTAACGAGATAACTGGGATCCCACGGTAGGGGGCCTGCCCAGGCAGGAGTGGCCCCCTACCTGTGTCACAGTAGACCCAGACAGAGGGTTGCTCCAACACATCTGAGCGCCCTGCACCATGGACTGTTCTGGCCAGGTCAGGTCCACACCGCACCACAGGCAGAGGGCTGCTCTGGTTGGGCCAAGCCTAGTGTACAGCGGCTGTGAAGCTGCTCCAGCCAGGCCAGGCCGCTGGTTAACCGGTTACCAAAAAGCATCACACATAAGACTGATGCTTGCCAGTTAACCGGGTACATCCCTATTGTGGAGGTTCTATAGTATGCATGTTGGGTGTGGCCTGTGGAGGACAAGCCCAAGAAGGTACAAGATTTAAAACCTCTGCTTTAGGGGACAGAGGGAAGGAGCAGCAGAAACGCTTATGCCTTTCCATCAATGAACCACTGTACAAGAAGCCACAAGCACCCTCTGGCATGGGACAGAAAACCGAGATAGTCAAACACAAGACTAATAGAACAGGATACCATACTCAAAGAGGCTCTGGGAGACAGACCCATAGTCTCCTATAGACAACCACCTAACCTCAAGATGATTCTTACCAACCACCACAGGACATACCACACTAATACCAACCCTGGTACCTTCCCTTGCAACAAACCCCGTTGCCAGCTTTGTCCACATATTCATTCTGCTGATACCATTATTGGACCCAACCAAGTGAGTTATAAGATCAAGAACACATATCCCTGCGCATCCAGAAATATAATCTACGCTATCATGTGCCGAAAGTGTCCGTCTGCTATGTACATTGGACAAACATCTCAGACACTTCGCCAAAGGATTAATGCCCACAAAACAGATATCAGACAAGATCACAAAGAGAAAACAGTTTCTTGCCACTTTAACCAGAAAGGACACTCTCTAAATGACTTAGCCACCTGCATTCTGCTACAAAGACCTTTTACATCTGCACTTGAAAGGGAATCCTCTGAACTGTCATTCATGTTAAAATTCGACACTTACCAACAAGGACTTAACAAGTCTTTGAACTTTCTCACCCATTACCAAGACAGTTTCCCCAATTATCACCTGTAATACCATTAACTCACAAACATCCCACTCTCCCTACCTTTAATATCAGCAATTCACAGACACTTACCTTCCTTCCTCCCCCTTCCCACCCCCCCGCATCCCCCTTCTGTTCTGCAATGTGATTTGTCCTTTTCATATTTGTTCATTTTTTTAAATTGTATCCTTTGGTATATATGGTTGTGACTACTTTCTTCCACTATTTGATCTGAGGAAGTGGGTCTGGCCCACGAAAGCTCATCATCTAATAAACCATCTTGTTAGTCTTTAAAGTGCTACATTGTCCTGCATTTTGCTTCAACTACCCCAGGCTAACACGGCTACATTTCTATCACCAATCTGGCTAATAGGCCTCGTCCACAGAGATTTGTGGAATGTGTAAGAATTGCTGTTCTTGAGCGTGTTTTTCAACCAGACTAGCTATAAAGAATCATCCCCTCCCGCCGAGGTAATTATACGGGCGCACCAGACCCACTGAAGTCAATGGGCGGAACAGCAAGAGATCCCACTGACTTCAGCGGGCCCAGCATGGCAGCTTGGGGGAGGTGAAAAGGGGCCAGCCGCGCCTGGGCTTGCGCTCGTGGCGGGAACTTACTGTTCCAGGGCTCACAGGCGAGCTCGTCTCTTCCCGCCCACGCCGCAAGCCGCACACTCAGGGAGGTGGCGCCCAGGCGTCAGTCACACCCTGGGCCGGGCTGGGGGGGGGGCTGGTGCTAACACGGACTCAGCCCCGCGTGGGTCGCAGCGCCGTTGCGAGCCCGGCTCCCTCCGCCCGCAGCTCAGCCGGGAGCTGGTGCGCCCAGGCGGGGCCTTTTACCTCGTAGACGTCGAGGAGGCTGTGGCGCTTGAAATAAGCCCTGAGTCCGGGGTCCGCGTCGCGCAGGGAGGACATGGCGGAGCCGGGCCTCTGGCGCTTCAGACCCAGCGCGGCGCTCCCAGTCGCCTAGCAACCCGAGGCCACAAGCCGCTCGCCCTCATTGGGCGCCTCAGCTCAGAGTGCGGAGGGGCTTTGGGGGAGGGGAGTGTCGCGTGCCGCCCCATCCCAACTTTGCACCACCCCCTGCACCGCCTCACCCCCCAAGTTCCACTCAGCCCCCTCCAACTCTGTACTGCCCTGCCCACCAGCCCCTGCTGCACCTATTGCCCTGGCCTCCAACCTTTTTGCACCCAAGATCACGTTTTAACTGCTAGGGCAAGCCAAGATCTACCCCAAGAGCCCACCCCTTCCTCGAGTCCCCGCCCTCTCTGTTCCCCCTCCTCTTTATCACTTGCTGGCCACAGCCCTTGCTCACTCTCATTGGATTGAGACAGGAGGTGCGGGCTCTGGGGTGGGAATGAGGGATTTGGGTGTGGGAAGGGGTGAGAGGTGCAAGCTCTTGGAGGGAATTTAGGTGCAGGAGGAGGTGGAGCAGGGGATGCTGGCTCAGGGAGGGGGATCCAGGCTGGAGAGTGTTGGGGTCAGGTGGAGGGTTGGGGTGCAGAGCCAGCCACTGGCTTTTTGGGGGTGGGGGGGGGGGGGTCAGGGCAGGGGAGGTGTAGAAGGGGCTCAGGGTTGGTGTGTGGGAGGGGTGCTATGATGCTGTGGCCAGATAGGAGATTATTGGCCAGGCTTCATTTTTAAATAAAATATGTCCAACACAAAAGGTTTCAACATTGTCTTTATTTATGGGAAGGGAGGGGAACCTTTTTGGGTCAGGGTAGGCCAGTAACCCAGAGAAAAATCAGGGACCGTACAAGTGAGATGCAAAAAAACAACCCCTCCAAAAACCCTCAACCTCACTGATGTAGCCCCAACTGAGACACCTCACTCCCCTGGCATCCAGCCCCATGTGGGGAGGGAGGAGAGAAGGTAGGTCTGAGGTTCAAGGCCTCAGGCCAGATTAACTCTTCTGGGGTTCCAGGATTAGTGGATTTTTTGGTTCCCCCTAGGCTCTGGGGTGGGGATAAAAATGAGGGGTCCAGTGTGTGGGATAGAGCTGCCTATCAGTGGGATAGGGATGGGGGTGCAGAATCTGGGTGGGAAGTAGGGGGCAGGAACAAGCTTGAGGTAGGTGTCTGGCCAGGAGGGAGGGGGCAGGAACAGGGTGCTGGCGGGGGTTTGGACAGGGGACAGGAGTGGGGTGCTGGTGGGTGTCTGGTCGGGGGGGAGGCAGGAGCAGGGTGCTGGTGGGTCTCTAGCCAGGAGAGAGGGGGCAGGAGTAGCTCAGCTGGTACCTGGGGGTCTCCAGGGACGAGTATCTCTTGGGCAGGATCTTCAGGCAGTGCTAGAAGAGGCGTACCTGTGGCTCCTTTAAGAAATCCAGCTCCTTCACGTATGATCTTTGGCCTCCATCTTAACCCCCTCTTTCCCCTCCCACTCTGCTTCCCCAAATTATGGGGGAATGAAGGGAAGATAAGAAAGTGTGGGTGCTGCTGCGGGGAGGGGAGGAGCAGCACACATGTACTTCCTAAGAAGCTGGCTCTGTCACAGAGCCTTGGGATTCGCCTCCCTTCCCCCTTCTCCCCGCCCCAGGAAGCCAGCTCTGGCTCCAATTTTGCAAGGGGCAGGAGGCTGTAGCACCGTGCAGGCTCCTCGTTGCAGGTGGGGGGAATGAAATGGGGCTGGGAGCACTGCTTCCAGATCGACTGATTGGTGACCGCTGACCTATTGCAATTCCATTCATACTCACTGCTCCGAGCCCACACTCACCCATCCCAACTCTATTTATTGCCTAGCCCTAAACCCAACTCATCCTCTATCCCAACCCTCTGCCTAAACCAAGCCCTTGCTCATGGACCCCTCATCCCAACTGGGCCATAACACCTGCCGATCCTTCACACTAAACCCTAAATTCATAGCCCATTCTAACTTCTTTCATGTTCCCCGTCCATATCAACCCCACAAATTGCCCCATTCCAACTCCATTCATACATCCAGCCTTGCACCAGACCACACCCACCACTCTTGCCCTTGGCCTACTCCTATCTATATTCCCCAACCATAGGTGCCAATTTCATGGGTGCTCTGGAACTGGAGAACCCACGAGAAAAATTAGTGGGTGCTGAGCACCCACAAGTAGCCAAACTTCTCCCAGCCTCTCTGCCTACCTCTCTTCCCTCCCCACTTCCCCCCATGCCTGCTGACCAACTCCTTCCTCACCCTCTCAGTGCTTCCAGAGATCAGTGAATATGTGATTTGTGGCTTTCAGGAAACTCCAGAAACGGGGCAAGGGTGCAGTCTTGAGGGAAGGTGGTGAAATGTGGGAAGAGCCTGTGGTGGAGGGGGGCCAGAACCCCACAGCTATAGGGGAAGTCAGTGCCAAAGTCACCAGGCTTACATCACACTGATCCCCTCACTCATACCTTGAGACACCCAGTTTTGCACCTACACTTAGCCACACCTCACCTTCAAACACTTCTCATATTTCCTGAACAAGCCAAACTTCTATCCATACTTTCATCACTATCTCCAAATTGAGCCCCATCATCTATCTGTTCCCCTATGAGACACCATAAAGCTCCCATCCATGCAGATCATTACTATGCACTACTGAATTCCTCATCCATACCACATTGCTAGGGCCCTATCAAAATTACAGCCATGAAAAACACATCAAAGACTGATAAATCTGTCTTCCCCTATGAAATATGGTCTCGTGTGTGCTTTTGTAAAAGATTTAATGGGTGAGTCCAACATTTTTCAAATTAGGGGGCTTCTTACCCAAATGGGAATTGCAATTGGGAATTGTGGTATTACCAACCTTATCTCTGCACTGCCTTCAGAGCTGGGTGGTTGGAGAGCAGCAGCTGTTGGTTGGTTCCCAGCTCTGAAGGCAGCAGTCTGCCAGCAGCAGTTTGCAAGTAAAGGTGACAATTATTTCTGCCTACAGATGGCGCTGTTGCGGTAAAATGTAAAAAATTGCTGTTCAGGAGCTGGTTAATACTATAAAATAGCATTACAGGCAGTCCCCGAGTTACGCGGATCCGACATATGTCGGATCCGCAGTTACGAACGGGGTTTTTCTCGCCCCGGAGGATGGGAGCGGCGGGACGCCCAGATGCGCCGCGGTCCCGCCGTCCACGTCCTCCGGGGCGAGAAAAGCTGCTCTGCGTCTCCCTGATCTGCTGGGGAGGGAGGAGCCCCCCCCCCCCCCCCCACCCCCACACAGGG